AGTGATGGGAGAGAACGAGTTCATATTGTGTGAACTTGACATGAACGAGTTCAATTTTCAAGAAATTAACTAAAACCTGAATTTAGTTCTTATTTATTATGATCTTGAACGTTTTGGGTTCGATCATTAACAATTTCATTCTCATAGAACATCAGGGTCCTTCTCAAGTATCGAAAGATATAAATATACCTATGTTTTTGATTATTTTTAGTTTGAATATTATTATAATATTAATCATTTTTGCCCTGAAATTACAACGCCGTTGATCGCCGTGAAGAATAGTAAACCATATTATTATTATATTTCTGTTGCAAATTGACATAATGAAATAAAATGTTATGAATAACATTCCCAAAACTAACACGTTCATACAAAGTATTATTGCATGCTGCATTCAGCGTGCTCCACAGAATACAGGGTGATACGTAATCAAAATTATTTTTAATTATCGTTTTATTTTCGTTTATTACTCAACATTATTAACACTACTATTCTATAATATTATCATTTCCAATTTGTTACATGAGATTTAGTATGTTGATAGTATGAAAATATAATATACTGTGTTAGATTTAATCATTTTTATAGTGTTTCTCTTATTCGTACATTTATGTAAAGAAAAATATTTTGCAAAAATATATGGCTGTATACATTATAAAATTGTCAGTATAATTATTCGACATACTTTGTATGTTATATAGTAGCCAGTAGGTACATATTTTATGTGTCTGATCTGTTCAAATTAAAATGATTAATTGTGATTGAAAATAATTAATATATTATAATATATGGTCTAGTTTTATTGTTTAACTTTAACCTAAACCTATAATGCCCTAATGTATAAATATCTTATTGGTAGTTGATGACTTACCTTTTTTGAAAAAAATTTTCAACCTAAGTGCATTTGAACTCTGTATGTGAGTATAAATTACATATAGGTATAATACATTTTATTTTATTTTTCTTATTGCGAATAAGGGGATATTGTTACTCTTCTAAATAAATGCCAGTAAATTTATTGTGATTTTTTTTAATTAAAATTTATGATTTTTTCGTCGAGTACTTAACATAATATAATAGCTACCTGGCACTCTAAGTCATTAAAAGGCCGTGCAGACCAGAGTTTAGTTCTACGTGCTGTTTTCAAAGTATTTGTCTTGTAATAATTATAATGTTAATTGTTATGCCATTTAACCTGTGTAGGTACTATTGCGATTTGTCATGTAATACGTTTATTATACCAGAATAAATAATGATAAAAATATGTAATTTATAATTATTGAATACATGCATGTAGACCCTTTTTGGTATCGCTAGATGCAAATGCAAGTGTCCGATGGCTAAGGTGGGCTGCTTTCACATTAAGCGTTTTAACTTTTTAAAAATCGCCGACCGACGATGCTCCAGACTCCAGACTATTTGTTCGTGAATCTTCAGCCAACTATTCCGTAGGTACTCCATAAGTTACACGTGTCAAATCCGATCAAGTTAGACCGCTCCCATATTTTTTACTAATAAACTTGAGTGGGTAGGTGACACGCGTATCGTACCTGAGGCTGAATTTTATATTTTGCCCGGCGTTTTTGTACGATTAACGATGTATTTCAGTTTGATTTGTCCCGTTGTCTGCCATTTTTAATCCACCGAGTTATCGTCGTAATTATTTTTACAGTGCGTTGTCGTCGGGGAATGGTAAACTCCTACAAATGTAGTGTTATCTCCTACAAAATATAGTGTTAACTCCTACAAAAGATAGTGTTAACTCCTACAAAATATAGTGTTAACTCCTATAAAAGATAGTGTTAACTCCTATAGGCTATAAAAGATATTGTTAACTCCTACAAAAAATTAATACTGCTCGTATTGCTGTAAAAAATATCAGTTTTGCAATATATTAACACATAAAATAAAAATGGTTTGAAAAATATAATAAAAATGTTAATAAAACAAAAATCATTATCATTTACGTTTAAATCAAAAATTTTAAAATATAACAAAAGTGTTAATAAAATAATAGTCATAATCATTTAATCCTAAAACAAAAATTGTTTGAACAATATAATAAAACAATAGTCAAAATCACATACGTTTAAAAAAAAAAATAATAAAAAATTCAATAAAACAATACTAAGTCATAATCATTTACGTATATTGTTATGGCTTGTTTTATCGTTATTCGACAATATTCGATGCCATATCGCTGATCTATTTAAAACATTTTGTACTGCAAGTACCGATATGAACGTATAGTATAGTATATAATATGGATATAATCTAACCTTCGAGAATCATCATACAGCGTATAAACAAGCTCTATTTAAGCGTCTGTTTATTAAATAATGTATATTTATTATTTTCAAGTTATGATAATTTTGAGCTTTTCAACTTTAAAATTGTGAATTTAAGTAATATTACCCTATTTTTTAAAGGGAAAAATTTCTGTGTAGGAGATTACAATATCTTTGATTTTCAGGTAAAAATTTTAAAAGGTTATTAGTGTAGGAGTTTACATTTGGCCTTGTCATCGCCGTATTATACGGTAAACTTATACTACGGGTCCTCGCGTAACGCGTGTTAAGTCCATAGGCGCAATTTGGGTTAAATTGATGAGTGTGCTAGATTTATATTGACTAAAGTGGTAAATGGGGGCTTTGCACCTCCATTCATAAACTTAATTTTATACCCCTCCGCATTAATCGTAATACAAGAACAAATGACCTATAGCATAATACACTTTTACCTATAATACTATTCTGATACCTGCAGTGTAGGTATCATTATTATTATGAAAATGATTGAGTCTTTGAAATAAATGTATCCAAATCCCTATGGCATAATATTATAGTCAATAAAAATTCGATGATGCTATCAAAAATGTGGAGGTGCTTAGCCTCCCCAACCACCCCCCATATTTCGACTATGGTCGAATCAATTCGACCCCCCTATTTACTAATGAGTTTGAAATTCAAACTTTGAACAGTAAACGTAAGTAAGTATGTGACACGTCTCGTATCTGCGGACATATTTTTTTATATTTTGCACGGTGGTTTTGTACGAGAATATTATTGCAGTTCGATTTATTCAGGTGTCTAAAATTTCCAATCCACCGAGACGTTGTCGTATTTATTACCTATTGTCTATTAAGTACCTATCTTTTTTTTAAAAGTTTATAATTTATTTTTTTAGTATATGGTACCTACCTATAACTTATTATTTTAATTTTAATATTCATTATCATTTATTATAGTTATTTATGTAAGCAGGTACCTATATCCACCTATATCTATAGCCTGTAGGTATAATACATGTTATTTGATAAAATAAATAATATAATACTCTTTTGAAAAATCTGTTAATTTATCAAATTTCTAAATTTGTACAGGTAGTCAAATTTATTATATTCTTAAGGATTAATTACTATTTTCTGCTCTTTAAATATAACCTCAAGCTTCACAAAATTATTCTATGTTGTAAGATAAAAATATCAAAACATAAAAAAAATTTTAAATGTAATTATTAAAATTAGATAGTTGGGAAAAAATGTATGTTGGAAAAAAAATGTTTTGTTCCAAGATAAAACAAAATAAGTTATAATGGGTGTTCGTATATAATATTTATAATTTTAATACTTTCACTACAACTAAAGTATAACGATTTGAATATTTACATTTATATATAGGTAATATATGCATATCTTCTCCTTCCCCTCTCTTTTTATACAAACATACATATGTTTTTGTATGTTTATAACTTATGTTGTAATTAATTTCAGAAATATGTGGAGTATTGTTTACTTTAAAATTGACAACTCGGTAGATTTTATTTCAAACTTTTTGATGTACACAAGAGTTTGTGCTTGGCCAAAAAAAAGAGTTAAAGAGCGTAGCTACATAGAAAAAAAAATTGACCCGGCTGATAAACCAGATACATTTAGTTATTATAATGCACGCCTAATGTATCAAGATATTGGTAAGTATATAATTATGTATAATTTAATAATTCTATGAATTTACATAAATGTTTTTTTTTTAATTTTGTTTTAGCTGTAATTAATGAAGCTCGATTAAAAGCTAGAAAAGCAGAAGATACTTCAGACTTATCGTCTCAGACAGACAATGAAAATATTATTGAAAACAAAAATCATACATCAACACAGCAAAAACGTTACTTAAACAATAATTCTAAACCACCAAGTCCACCATTATTTAGTTTGAGTTGTGATTGTTATGGGAACACTGTACTCAATATCATAAACATACAATATCATACGTTTTTGATAACAACCTCATGCACAAGACGTAAAATGTTATCTTGTAAGTTGTAACATATATATATATATATTTATGTAATAACTATTATATAAAATGATATATTAAAATATATATAATTCATAAAACAACAACTGTTTTTTATTTAGTAAATATAATACGGCGCAGTTGGAAGGATAATATACTAATTCAATCACCACCATGAATCAGTTACAGCAGCTCTTCGGGAAAGGATTGGACAAGATGGAAAAATGTGTTCAATATTTACATGATAGGAACAGGCGAGATAAAACTAAAAGAGGAAGAAAAAATAGGCATCATCTTACATTGTATTGGTAATGAAGGCAGGACAGTAAGCGAATCTTTTGAAATTCCGGAAACGGACAGGACATACGATAACATACTTAATTAAAAAAATTGATGAATACTATGTGCCCGCTTTAAATGAAAGTGTAGAGACTTTCAAATTCAACAGCCGGATGAAATATTTAAAAAATTTGAAACAGATCTACGACAATTAAGCAACAACTGCAATTTTGGTTCATTAAGTGAACTGTTTATCAGAGTAATAAAATTTAAAGTTGTACAAGATCGGCTATTAAGAACTCCAAATTAAGTATTGAGTAAAGGAGGTGAAATTGCTTGAGCAGTGGAGCAAACATTGGAACAAGCAGCATTAATCAATAATGGACAGTTAAGCGATGTTCAAGCAGTTATCATCATCATCGGAGAATGAACAAAATAGAACAAAAGCAGACTGTATGTGGAAAGTGTGGAAAAACACATTACTTTAAAGAATGTCTGGCATATGGGAAGCAGTGTCGTACATGTAAAGGTAATAACCATTTTAGTAACATCTGTCTTAAAAAAATAAATAACGGTAATTCAGGTAATGTAAAAAACAGATATGTAAGGACTAATAAAAATAATAGTATAAAGAACATTAAAATGGTGTATGAAATGAAGGAAGATGAAGTATTATTTTTAGACAACATTAATGTGTAATAATTATGAATGAGTATAACGCAGATTTATGGTGTTCATACAATAATTATTATGTTTTTATTGAAATACACGTGGTTGAATAAGTATTAGATCACAGTATTTTCTTTTAAAATATTTATATCACTCAGTGGTGATTTGACATTAATCAAAAAACGTATAACAGGGAAAGATATTTGGAGAATATAGTTTTTTGACTCACGATGCTCCTGGGCTCTATCTTCCTGTGTACAGCTAGGCAGTGGTTGATACAGCGGTCGTCGGTAATGATTCCGATATTCGGACGGTCGATCGGCGGAGGTAGGTATACTCGACGATCGATAATTAATAGTTAGTTATTGTAATACGGCGGCGTGCGTGCGTGTGTGTACGACGTTCGTAAATCGTTCTGGCGGCAGGTATATATATACGGGTCGGACGGCAGCTACGGCTCGTTCTCGATGTCGGTATATTTTACGGGCGGCAAGTAGGTACTTTAGTTTGCGTCGTTCGCGATGTTTATCCTCAGCGGCGAAATGGTATTGGACGGCGGCGTATGCTCGGCGTTCTCAATATTCGTTTTAAATGGCACGGCAGAGGGAAACACCGTGTAACGGACGTGCAGTGGCGGCGTTAAATTGCGGCGGCGGCGTTTAAACTGCGGCGACGGCGTTTAAACTACGGCAGCGGCGGGTCGATCGTACCGGCTTGTTTGACCTGGGTTTTACTCCATATCCAAGCACGGTAGATGAAAACAACGACCGGAACGGTAGCGACGACGATATTCTTACTCAACTGTTTGACCTGGGTTTTACTCCATATCCAGTTGGTAAGAATATCGTAGTATATCGAGTGGGTGTGAGTATGAGTATGCTGTTCACGGGGCCTATTTACCGACTATCTCAGTTGCCACCGTGAACAGTAATGATGGCTATAGGTGTCTACGTTTTGATGATTTTGACTGTACCTAATATCGCTGAGGGTGTGTGTTTGCGGTGACGTCTATTGTTGTTGGTGCGCTTTCATTTCTTGGATAGATCTCTGATGTATTTCCTATAGAAATTAATGAACCCGAGAAATGCTTGGACTTGTTTTTTGTTCTGAGGAGGCTGAAAGTTTTGTATGGTCTGCACTTTTTCTGGATCCATAGTGACTCCCTTCTCCGATATCACATGACCTAAAAAAGTTAACTTTTTTCTTAGGAATTGTGACTTTTTTATGTTGATCTTCACGTTATACGTTGCAAACTTTTGAAATATAGCTTCTAAGTGTTTTAAATGTTCGGTGAAACTGGTAGAAGTTATATGTAGGTCGTCCACATATATCGCTACGAATTGTAATATTTCAGGGCCCAATTTGTCATTGCAATTAATGTATAATAATTACTTAAAGTTTGTAATTATTACGAATATGTTCCCGAACATAACTTTGTGCGTGGTGCATGCTATCTAGTATCAGTATTTGGCGTTCCGGGCTGGCTACCGATACTAGATAGTTGCACATTTATTTACTGGTGGCGCGTCGGTTCTCTGCGCTGTTGTGTGTGGTTCGCGTTGGTTGTTCACTGTAGGCGCTAGTGGGTATGTTATTGTAAGAAAACTGAGAGTAGGTAGTTTTGTCTCGTTACAAATGTAGTTACGATAGTAGATAAAAGTTGGTTTATAAACTGAATGATTGAAATTCAAGATATACATTTTAAAATAGATAGTGGTGTTCAGGTGAATGTGTCACCAAATAATGTTTATATGTTTATATTATAAACAAATTATAGAAAACATTCAATTAAACTTGAGCAATTACAATGGAAGATTCATAAAAGTGTTAGGAGGAAAATGCAAGCTAAAATGTCATTTTGAGAATGTTATGGTTGAATACCTACATAGATTTTATGGCGGTAGATGAGCAAAGTCAACCAACTATTGGGTTCAAAACAATGATAAAATCACATTTGGTTATAAACTTTATGAAAAAAAAGCTAACATAATGGACGACCCAAGATACTAAACAATAAGTGAGGGAATAGGACTCATGAAAGTAAGAGAGTATGACGTATTTAATTTATAACCTACCTAGAATAACTTACGACCGTTGCAAAAAAAAAACATACAAACGGAAAGGTCGAAACCTAATTATAAAATATATTTTTGATGTTACGTATTTTTAGTTTTTACGAATCCAATACAGTACAATAATAATAATGTTATGTCTCACCATACTATGTTTGCATGCAGCTGGCTATGGTTATGTCTTCATGAGACCCTGGTAGTCGGTGGCGCTTAAATTGACGATCTTCATCGTTGGCGCCTTGGGAATCGACCTTTTGTTGTAAAACGGTAGCCGTTTAGGATAAACGGTAGCTATTGAATGCGCTATTGTGTTATTGTTGTCTGGGCGCTATACTTAGATACTGCAGGCACCCCCTGCAGTGACCCTCGTGAAAATCAGCTGCAGTCGTCATGAGCTCAGCACCGCAAGTACCTACGCAATAAATGTCATCGTTAAACGTTTGTAAATTATATGCGTTTGTCATGTGTACTCACGTCGTGGTAGCTACGTTCCTCTCTATACTGTGTTCCGGTGTCATTTGAGAATCAATGATTCTGTCTAGCAGTCCGCATGTACCGAACTTATTCGTGCATAATGGTTAATGTGGCGGGGTTGTATCCAGTTTTATCGGGTTTTAAGTTTAACATAATAATTATAATAGAAAACATTTTTTTTTAATTTAAATAATCGTCAAATATTGTCATCCACGACGAAAAGAAAATACAATATAAATTAACTTAAAAATTATCTTACAAAATGTACAGCTATATTATAATAAACCGCAATATTAGACATCATATATAATATTAAGGCGGAAAAAACAAGAAAATAGAATGTAAAATTTCTTTAAAAACTAAATTAATATAACTCGATTAGATATAACCAAGTAATGATTGTTATTTTTGCAAAATTAAGTAAAATTATTCAAATAACGAATATTAGACAATTTAATACAAGATTTCTAAGTTTTCGTACCTTTAACAGAAAAAAAAAATCTTATCGGAAAAATTTCTCATGTAGCGGTTTTGTTGTATTATTGTTATTCAAAAACGAACAACTGTAGACACATGCAAATTTTACTGAATGTTTATATTTTCATTTTCTATAATCTATACACCAATTTTTAAAATATTTTGCTTTTTTGATATTTATATTATGATATTATAATTTTGTATTCGTTGTCTCGCCACCACGACAGAATACGTGCTCTTCACCGACCACCCCACACATTCACACACGCACACGGTCACTATCATTATTAATTATTTTTAAGATTATATAATATTATGTAGATTATGCGGTATCGTTCAGCATAGGCCGCGGGGGCGAGGAGTCCGTTCCGTAGTGTCTATGCAGAAGGAGTGCGGTAATCGCCCTAAAAATTGTATTATTCTTATTAGGCGCAAATCGCCACTGCTTTATACTCTACTTGTAAGGCGCTAATCGCCTACGTTATTCTATATTGTTTTTTACAAGGCATTTATAGCTGGCGTTGTTATTATTATTTAATTATTGTTGCGACGCATTGTATGTGTCGTGTATTATTTCTATTATTCTAAAAATTATAGGAAAGGTAGCAGCCGACCAGCCGAGCACCGTCGCATTTGTGAGTTCTAATATATATTCCTATATATATTATATTTATTAGTATTATTATAACATAGCTGTTGAGCCAAAAGGGCCACATATTATTATTATTTCTATCACAGCTCAATAGCTGCAGAAAAAAATCATTATTATTTATAATCACATTGATATTATAATGATATCATGTTATAATTATTTATTTGTTGAAATTATACGCTGATATTGTGCCTAAACCCCTGCTGTTGTAAATTTATTCATTTAGTTTTTTAAGCATACACCCACACGAGTACATTATAATATTATAATTTTTTATTCGTTTCTATGGTGATTAAGAAGCAAAGTGTTAGAAATTAAAATCCAATTTTTAGTGGTTTTCGGTAATTTGAAGGTAGTTTTTCCTGTGGCATTAAATAACTACTGAGAAAATCAAAAAATGACCTATTCAAATTACTATCTTGATACGATTTTTTAAAAGAGAAGGTGCTATATATTGAAGTCGAAGCATTCCATCTGGTAAACATATTGTATACAGGATAAAGAAAATTAAAAAAAATAAACACCATGTAAGACCACTAGCTTCCTCACTCCGCTCAGAACCTAAAAATATATTTTTTTTAAAACGTGGCCCATACATTGTATGTAGGTATGTAGGAAGTATGTATTTAAGTATGTTTGTTTGTGTGAGTGTGTCTTATAAACACATATGTGCACGACAGTAATAATATTGAGTATCGTAATCCCATATAGTTTTATTTCAAAATTCTAAAATTAATACCGATTGGCATTCTTATTAATTATCATTGATGATTGATCCCAGACTTCAGTTAACTTGCGACAGTCGTTTATCATGAACAATTCAACTATTCTGCGTATTTATAAAATTACCAAAAACCTCTCAAGAATCGAAAACAGTTTCTGGTATGTTTAATAAACAGACGAAACTTGAACCAGTGAGCAGGCAATAAAAAAAAATATTATAATTTAAAATAATATTAACTTGTAAATATATCGTATATTCATATAGGTACCTATATATTACTATGGCTATAAGTGATGAATCAGGTAAAATGTATTTATAGATGATGGAGTTGACATGTATTAAAAAATTTAAAAAAAGAAGATATCCTTTATAAGCTACTAATATTTTTGTTTATAAATATCACCATAATAGTTTGTAGACTTTTAGTTTATACAGGTTGGTATACAATCTATGTATATAAAAATAAGTGTACATTTTGAATACATTTTATAACTCAAGATCCACCAAACTGATTTCGATAAAAATTAAATAAATGCGAAATGAAAATCTTTGTACAGGGTAAACTCTGGAACTACTTATCAGATCTTCTTGATTTTTTTTAAACGAAAGAGTATATCACGAAGGAGAAGGT